GTAAAGGGTGGTGTAATTCATCTCATGTAATGAAACTTCGGTTCCGAGCCACATCAGTTAGTAAATAGTTTCCTCAGTCCTTCAATAGGTTCATTAAAGCGATCCGATCTTCGATTATTAGCTGATTAACGTTAAGGGGCTCTTCCTGTTTACTTAAGTGGTCCGATCTCAAATTGTTAACAGGTTAGCATTAAGAGTCGCTTCGTACTCGCTTAAGTGATTCAACTTATATTAACTTGAGTGGTCCGATCCGCAGTTATTAACTGGTTACTGTTACGAGGCACAAATACTTAGCAAAAATTTCATTTCATTGAATAAATTTAAGTACAAGGAGGCCGAAGCCATTATAAAGGGTAGACCTACTCTACTGGAAGGACTTCTACATTGGCCGCCTCTGGAGCTTCCTCGGCGAGCCTATTAGGCCGACCTCCAGTTGGCCCCCCGAACTCTGCCTCCAATGAAAAGATGTCCAAAGTGGGGTGCACCTCCTTCAATCGACCCAATAAGCTTTGGGCACTCCACGAGGCCCAAAAATTGGCGAAATCGTTATACAAGGGATGGTCTTCAAAGTGGTCAATGAAGTTCTGGATCGCTACCTCCCCTGCAGACTTCAACTCCTCCTTCAAAGAGGCAATCTCCTCTGACTGAGCCTCTGCCTTCTGCCTCAGCTCCGCCTTCTCTTTGTTGGAGGCCTCCAGAGCCTCGGTGGCGAGCTTGTGGTACTCATTGGCGTGATCAAGCCGCCGAGTCACAGCACCAACTTGGCACTCCACCTCGTACAACTCCTTCTTCAGCCGCTCCACTTCTGCTTTGGCTGCAGTTAGCTGGGCCTTAGCTTCATTCTTTCCTTCCTCCGCCTGCATGGCCTTGGCCTGGGCTGCTCGCACGGCATCTCCGTAGTGCATCGCCTCCTCGAGGCCCTTGGCGAGGTCCTCCCTCTTGGAGTTCAGATCCTTCACCAAGCCCTCAAACTGGATGCTTGTACTTAGGGCCCGAGCCACGCAGGCGCTGTTCGCAGCCACCAAATCCTCAGCTGTGCAGGAGGCGGTGTGGTCCCTCCACTCCTCGGTCCAGTATTTGCTGTGGACCACCGCCATTGCAGCTGTCTTTGGAGGAAGAGCCTCCAACACTTCCCTTACGGGCTCCTCCGGGTTTGTGCCAAGAAAATTCGACCTCATTAGAAGGATGGGGTCTCTTCCTCTTCTGCTGCCCTGGCACTTGATCAATTAACACGACAACGATGGGTATTGTGGCCGGGACAGTAGCAGGCTCAGTTGGGGTGGGCCTCTTCTCCGGAATGGCCATCCCGATGGCCGATGGGAATTGTGGTCTGCCTCAGAGCAGGGGGTGGCCTTGCCACAATTAGGCGTTTTGGAGGGGTGACACTCTTCTTGCCCTTCCTCTGAAGGTCAGTCTCCGGGTCCTCCGGTAGCTCCTCCTCCTTTGGAGGCTGAAGTCTCTTACTGGCTTCCATCAAATCCTCCATTTGCTTTTTTGTACGAGGAGGAGGAGGCCTTCGACGCCTGTGCCTCTGCCATCATCTTCTGGATGGTCTTAAAGTCAGGGA